CTCCATCTGTAAGGCATCTGCCACGGCATTTATGACTCCAGTACTGAGTACATTTCCAAAATATCTTGCTGCCCTTCTCCTTTTCTTTGCAATATGTGAACCCAGAATGGGAAAGCAGCTCCTTCCCCTTTTGACTCTTCACAAACTCCAGTGGCATTTCAAAATTGGACTGGAGCAGATAACAACTGAGATACCAGCCGATGCAGTGGAAGCAGTCGAGAATCCGTCAACCTTAATCAGCCGTGGAAGTTCTTCACAGGGCTGTCCACCGCTGCGGCCTCATAGGAAAAAATATTAAAGTATTTCCCTCTTGACTTTCCCATTAGGGGAAATAAAATCATGCATCTTTCATTATCCGTATGTGAGTATGCAGGAGTGTGACAGATTATGCAACGCGTTAGAGTCCTTGTGAAAGAGTTGCGAAGCAATGAACCGAGCACTACTGAAATACAACATTGGAAAAAAAAAAGTATTAACTTACAGATTGGAGCCAGAGTTGAATAACAACATGACGTAGAACTTCCTTCTAGTCTTGCAGTTCGAATGAAGTCACACGAAGCCAGTCGAGTGATTAGGTGGGATGTTGGGTTGTCTTATATCCCAGGTCCATCCCCATCCCAATTCATCCTTGCTGATTTGTGGTGGGCGTGTAATCCTCTTACTGGAGGATGGTCACACAATGACATTAAGCCGTGTTGAGTGAAAATCTTAAGGTGAGCGGGAAGATCTTGAGTAGATCAGTTATCGGCTACTTTGACCGAAATCCGCTTAACGGGAGAATTCCCATTGCGATCTCAAAAAAATCTGAGGGAAAATTTTGACATGTCGATGTTTCCTTGTTTCGCTGTTTTGACATGTCGATGTTTTACCTAGTCGATGTTTTGTCGCGTCGATGTTTAGTTACGTCGAGATTTTGTCGTTTCGATGTTTTGGCGTCGATGTTCTGACGTGATACCGATCATGAGCTACCGTGGAATGTTTTTCTGATATTTCTTTACTTTCTTCCTGTTTTGTTAACTTCGGATGATGTATTTCGTTTTGTGAGGTGTTTTGACGAAGGAAGGAACCAAGGAAACGGGACAAAGCACGGCAATGAACCTCGCCCCTTCCGAGCAATGCTGAGACTGCATCATGCACGAAAAACATTTTTTTTCATGACGGTCCATTGATTTCATTGCAGTGCAATCATTCTCGCTTTCATCCAGACGGCCCCGAAGCTCAATCTGATTAAAAAATATTACGAGTCCCTCGGTCGGTTTCAAAAGTCCAAAAGAGGACGCGTATTTTTGATCCACCCGATACTGAGATACTCTAGGGGGCACAATTTTTGAGGAGGACGTTTTTCCTTACTTTTTTTTCTATCATGGTCCTTCCAGCAGTTTTACAAAAGGCACCTTGAGGAGAAAAAATTCTGATGATATTTTTTTTCATGTGAGGAAAGGTGCAAGCTATCAATCCAACAATCGGACAAAAAAAAACAAATTCTTCAAATTTTGTTATTTTCCAAGAGGCGATACTGCATGAATGAAGAATATTTGCCGAAAATTCCAAGAGGCTTCTAATTTTGAGCAAAAGGATCGAGTGAGGTCAATTTTTGGCGGTGGAAGGGGATTTAGGAGGCATTAAGAGTAATCGGTCATTGCTTTTCTCGCAGGAGGTTTGAAAAAGTTATAATTTTAAAATTCCTGACACGGATTGCAATATGTTAGTAAGGAAGTCTCTGATCAAAGGTAAATAAATAAATGTAACCGCGACTTTAAAAAAATTTATTCCTCAAATACTAACTTAAATGTCACCGCGGTCGATTAAATTTTTTTTAGAAGGTCCGGTTCTGACATCAAGTTCCATTGAGTTTACCGTGTACATATGAAATATCGGAATGCCTTGTTTGCCTGTCTGTTCGCTTTGAAACGGCTGGAGGATGCGCATAGCAAATATCTTCTGTCCGATTTTGCAAGTGCAGCAAATTAAAATCTAGATGCCACATTTCCTTCAGATGCCGTGTATTTTCTTCAGATAAATATTGCTTTAACCGATGCACTTTCACACAACTTTCGCGACTAATCAACACGGAAAGACCATATTCATCGAGTCACCGCGCTAAGAAATGTCATTAACATCCACTGTCAGTACCGTTTCTCCCTGAAACGGCAACAACTTTCGAGAAATAATCAGTAGAGATGGAGAGGCGATCACTCGTGGTCGCAGTTTCAGCTGCCGAGAGACGATCGGCGAGAGAGCATGTTCGCGGCTTCGGCGGCCGAGAGAGACTCTTAGCAGCCACCGAGAGAGACTCTCAGCGCGACCGAATGGTCACCGCCTCGGTCGCAAACTTCCTGAACCTCTCCATGAGAAACCCGGTGGTGGAGAAGATGCGCTGGAGGATCTCCCTCACGTCCGATCTCGCCGTCCTCTCCCTCGTCGCGTTCAGTTCCGGCAGCGTCATGTTCACCGCCTCCAAGTCGATCCTACCAACACCCCGATCGACAGCCAAAACCCCCAAGTACCTCCAATATCTCCAATATTGAAACTCACGGCGTCATGGCGAACTCGTGCAGCGAAGACCCGCTCGCATTCACCTCCGCCGTGATCTTGATGAGGAAGTGATCGATCGTGGCGTGGACGTGTCTGGCCGGGTCGTCCCCTCCCCTCCGCCTCCCCTGCAGGGCGTACAGGTTCACCTCCACCTCCATCGGACCCACGAGGCCGTACATTCGGACCTGTCAGAGCCGACTTCGACGGTTTTATGCCGTTATTATTCGTTAAAGACCGCGAAAAAAAAATGAAACCCACGAAAGAACCTCTAACAGACCAGCACATGACGGCATTTCAAAGCCGGAGTTATTAAGGCAAGCATTTAAGAGTAGATTCATCATACAGAGTTGCTAAGAAGGATGTGTCCAGGAAGAGGGAACGTATCGATTCCCCCGAAACCATTTCTACCCTTACGAAAATGTTCTAAAGGAAACCTATAGACTTTTCCTATAGGTTTTTGAAACACGAAAAACCTTTAGGATGAATATAGGCCCTATAGAACTCCTGACATACGATTCCGTGAGATTTATTGGGCTACGAAACCCTGGCATTATATCCGGAATTATTGCTAAGTGGGATGACCACCAGGGTCAATATTGGCGCTACTTCCTGTATCTTGTACCTTCCTTACTATAAAATAGTATCGCCTGCATTAGCATAACTCTCTTTTCCTAATTTCGGAACTGACCTATCTCATTTGCCCCCCCCCCCCTCCTTCCCCCTCACTTT